GCGCCGGATGCCGCTTTCCCGGTAGGGGAGGCCGCTGCGCCGCATCTCCGCGCCTCGGGCCTAGTCGGGAAGTTTTGTTTGGACTCCTGCTTCCCGCTCCGGAGCCTGTGAAGCACTTGAGCCAAGGCGCAGGCCTGCCGCTTTGCTGACCTTGGGCACGACCAGAAAAGGGGCCGTCTCAGGCTGGCGTCTTGTGGCACTGTCTGGTTTAGATGTACCCAGAGAGGGTGGGTGGCAGCCACAACCCTCCGCCTCCTGCCCGGCCACGGGAGCAGGTAGAGCCGACCGGGAACGCTTCAGTGGACCATGCTTGTACAATAAGTGCTCAGGCAGGGCTTCCCGAACTTGTTTTTCCTCAGCGTGACCCCATGCATGGCCTCTCGCTCCCAACCCACAGCCCCCACCCCCGGGGTCCCAATTTAGAGTTGCAACCCACAGTTTGGGAACTGCTGTGTTAGGGATCCTTAGTGAGCTTGTAGACAGAGCCAAGATTTCTGTATAAGCCTTATCTGAAAGCATCCCCAAGTTTTCTAGGGTAACTATGTTACATAGAGATGAGTTATTAACTCCTTTTTATTTGTTGTAAAAGTCTAGCTTTACTAAAGTACATGTTTGTATATATTTTTATTAGAATTAACCTTTTTTGGAATATTCTAATATTATAAAAACCTAAGAGGGGCAATTGGCTAGTATACTTATGAAGTTCTTCCTCTAATTACTTGCAACTTGTGTCCCTTTTTTGGCACCTCGTGTTACTGTCATGTAGAAAATACAGTATTCCTGGATTCCTGAAGCTATTTTTCTTTGACTTTATTAATGCTTGTAGTAGAAATGCAATGGTTAGAATGTTTCTAAGTACTAATGGATCATTTCTATTTCTTGATTAAAAACAACAATTAATACTAAACACAAGCTTTATTCCTGTTTATAGAACCTAGTAAAGCACCTTGATGTCACTGCCAAGTTGTGACACGATATGAATATGAAGAGAGGTAGTAGTAAAGTTAGTTTATGCTCAAGGAATTTCATGCATCTCTGATTTGGTTAGCCAATAGAGTGCATCTCTCCCCTGCCTTCTGCATTCATATGGAGGCCATGGATGTTATTGATTTTACTCTTCAATCTGGATTTATGCTTGTGTAAGAAGAAGACTTTTTGATTCCTGAACTGGAGAAACGTAGTTTCTTTCAGTTAGTTACCCTGAGTTTGTTTTTAAAAAAACCAAAACCAAGCAAACATATAATATTATTACTTACAAACAGTAGGAGAGTTTTACAATTTAAAAAGGTAATTAAATACATAGGTTTACGATTTCATTTGCATAAATCCACCTGCACGGATTCCCCACTGAGTCCAGAGAGTTTCTGCACAGGACTGCATGATCAGTTTTAGGATCAGAACCTTAATTATAGCTATAAAATTATAATTATGTAGTTGGATGTTTCTCCATTGGACTGTTAAGCAATCCACAACTCTTAGGAGATTGGTTGTGTGTTCCTTCAATCTTGTACAGGAGGTATCCACTGATTTAAAATTTTCTGTTACTAGATGTTTCCTTGTTTTGTATGTCTTTCTGATCTTGCATTTCTAGGCAGAGTTGCTTCCTATCTTCATAAGATTAACTACTTATTTCCACCTTTTGTTTAGTACATCTTACATCAGGGGCAGGCAATTATTCTGGGTGGAGGACCGCTTACTGAGTTTTGACAAGACATCAAGGGCCGCATAACAGGCAGCCAGGGGCAGATGAATACTAATTTTCTAAATTTTTTAGGGGTCCCGCAGGCCGGATAGAAGTGCCTGGCGGGATGCATCTGGACCACGGGCTGCATTTTGCTCACCCGTGTCTTGCATAGTCTCCAGACAGGACTATTGTGTGTGCAGTGTTTGTTCAGCATAATAGGGCTATTTTTACATGTCATGGAGGCATAATGGTGATACAGTCTTCTCTGGTTTTATTGTCAGTCTTTGTCCCTTCTTGTCCTTCTAAATTGCTTGTTACCTCCTTCCTATTTTGTGTCACTTCAAAAACAAAACCAACAAAGACAAGAAAATCCTAGATAAATCCTCTGGGGTGTGATAAGAGCTTACTTTGCTGAGTTGGTTTGCTCCTCCAGAGAGGGAGCAGCAATTTCCCACAGACCTCCTAATACTTGATACTTGGTAATGTTCTGAACAGTGGTACCTGTCTTCCTGGCTCTGGAGCCAGTTTCTTCTAGTCATTGGAAGAAACTTTTGCTTTGGTTTACACTTAGTTCACCTTTTAGAACTCTTTCTTTTCAACTCTATGATGACAGACTCTTGTATCAGAGCTTAAATTAGACAAGTATAATCAATTTCCACATGCAAACAATTCCTGTTTTATTTTTTATGACTAGCTTTCATTTTTGGAAGAAAGATGATGCTGAAACTGATCAGATCTGAGGTGTATTTAGTTTAATAATGTCTCCATCATTGTCCAAAAGATGTAAAAAGTCTCCAAAATAAGCAATTATGGGACAACTTTCCTGTACAAGAAGTTTCTTTAATCTCTTATTGGAAGATTGGTAATGGCCTGAAACGTGGGGTTTATGTTTTTTCCAACCGCTTCAGGCTTTGTATCCCAATGTAACTTGATGTTCTCCTTCATGAAAATGTCAAGCTCCCTTTATGAATCAAACTTTCTCCTATTGCAGAGTTTTATGGACTACTACTTAAGTAACTTAATTGTTGGTTCAAAACTTGCTGGTTCAAACCATTTGCATTTTTGTTCTTGGTGTGAGAAAACGAACAGGAATGCTCTGCCTGTCTTCTCTAAATAATTTGTATGTATTTCTTAAGTTCCTTCTTTGTTTTCTCTTACGTATGAATCTTTTTTTCTGATCTGAGACCTGCAGAATGCTGGCTTTTATATATAGAGATCTACTTGTACTAGACTCCCACTCTTAGATCTGGTGCTTAGTAGGTTTAGTAAGCAAATAGTCAGGCTTTGCTGCCAAACGTAACTTTACCAGAGCCTCAAGGCCTAGAAATCTAACCTAGTCACATTTTTAAAAACAACAATCAGTGTTGTAGTGGCTTTGAGAGAACCCTTTCCCCGACTCAGATTCAGTTTTGACACTGTATAAAATGGGGCTGTCCAACACCCTACCCCATCCCCATTCCCTCCCCCAGCTGCAGACCTCTGGGATTCCTTCTGCCTGTGCAGCAAGGGGAGAACTGAGCCACTTGTGCTGCCCATGCAGTGAAGGAAACTTGGGTTGCTCAAGCTGCTTGCATAGCAGCTGTGAGCTCTTGAGTCCCAGTGCACAGTCCCTCTTGAAGTGTGGACAACCTGGCTCTTTGCAGATACAGTGTCTGCCTGCTGCCTTGGCCCCAGGAGCAGAGGCAGGAACTGGAGGAGGAAAGGGAAACCTGGGGACCCTGGCTGTCACAGGAGCAGATTCCTTTGGGGGTGGGGGGAGAGGGGGCGAGTGGCAGTTGGGCAAGAGCTTGGGGGCTGCATGTTAACCCATCAGAGGCTGGATGTAGGCTGTGGACTGGCGGTTGGACAGCCCTGGTATGTTAGACAGTTATTATGTAACTAGCCAGTTGCCCATCAAGCATGACTGGGGGTGCTGCTGACCCCAGCACCCCCACCCTCTGCCTAGTCCTTGGTGTGGCCTCGGGGTCATGGTAGTGTTCCCCCATGCTTGGAGCACTCTGATTGGCTGTTTCTGTCAGCCAGTCAGAGTGCGAATGAAGCCAGACAGACCAGACAAACACTTAAGCTTTTATAATATTAGAATTCATGTGACCTAGGAACCCTTCAGCAATCTGTGTGAGATCACTGTAGAAATATAAAATGTCAAGTAGGAGGCATCAGAACCTGTATTTGCAGAGTTAAGACACCCATTGAAGATAGGATTTGCAAACTAGCCAGGACTATATACAACCATAGGGAACAACCACATGGGATCTGTGAGATGCTCCAGCTCTTGGCTGTTACTTTGAGTTAAAAGGGCACTGCTTCTTTGATCAGCTGTGCAGGACTGCTTATGAACTCCAGGTGAGTGGAAGAGCAATGACTTTTTGAAGTAAAAGCCACAGCAACTAGATGAGTATCTTATACTTAATTTGGTAACCTGGTGTGAACCACCTGGATGCAAATACGAGTTCTTCTATATTGGTTTCAGTCACAGACACCTGCAGAATGTGTCCACAGGAGAGTAACTATCTAGATGATGCAGACAGATGTTGCTTGTAGTGTAGCCAAGTGTGCTAACACGTGTTTGGCAAATTCCTAAATATTGCTGGGCAAATACCCCTTGTAGACAAAATAGTTGACTAGCTTTCATAAGTATACTTCTCACCCTTTGAGAAAGGAGGCTATTTTTCTTACAAACAGGGCAGTGAAGGTCTCTTAGATAGTATTTTCAGTCATTCTTTTGAGGCTTCAGTGTTCTGAAACCCAAATGCTTTACTTTAGAATCATAATATATAATAAAGGATGGCCTTTTGTGAAGCCAGTGAGCTGGCACTGTTGTCTGAATTAAGCATTTTGGTGTGTGTAGGAATTCTTGCTCTAGCATGGGGCTTAACAGTGCAGTTTTGCAATATACACACCAGAATCTAACTCTGTGCACCTGAATAGGCTTTATTCTTTATAGTCCTTTTTATGCAGAGTTCATAACTATTAGACAACGTTGTATACACAGGCAATGTCAGAATTGGATGTACTGTGGTGTGGCACCTGCCAAAGAATAGGTAAATGCTGGTCCTCCCTTCTTTTCTTTTTCCTCCTCCTCTGCTTCCTCCTAGAGCTCCGAATTCTTCAGAGAACAGAGTCATGTATCGTCTTATCCTTTAATGTGAATTGGATGCATCCACACAAGATGCTTAATACCCATTGGACTAATTCTGCTGCACATTAGCATGGCTGGCAAAAATATGTTAATGCACAGTAGATTAGTCCAGTGGACTAAGCATCACACAGTGTTTATCTGCGCTAATGCGTAGTAGTGCCAATTACAGTACATCAAGTACTGTAGCTGTTATTACAGGTACTAAACTTAATGTGCTGTAATTACAACACATTAATGAACACCTAGAAATGCCCATTGACTGTTTTGACTGATCCTTGAAGATCTTCACCCATCGGGGGCTGTGGGCTGCTAGTTGGACAGCCCTGGTATAGAAGATGCAGGCAGTTGCTATGTAATTCATGTGTCCTAGGAATCCTTCAACATGAAGGGTTCCTAACTCTTGAAGACGTGAAAATGAGGTAACTGAAGTACAGCAAGAAGTGTTAGGCACCCAATTCATCTTATAGACCAAAATGGGTAGGTAGATAAAGGCTGCTTACTGGTGTTAAAAAAATAAATAAATCTCTTTAAATTCAGTATGCTCCTGTACCAAGTCTTTCACATGCCAAGAAGAGGCACTGCATTAGTTGGAACCAGCTCTCCCAACGTCTGTGTAGATCAGGAGCTTTAGTGGGGCTTTTATGGCACTTTTATCTAATAGCTAATCGAATCAACTTTATATAAAAGCACCAAAAAGCACTGTTGAAGCGCCCAATCTATACAGACACTATGGAGCTGGGTCAGATTAATGGGGTTTATTGGTGGTGGAGTGTTTGTGTGTGTGTTTGTTTGTTTGAAATGTCTGTAATCAGTCATATAGTACAAGCTTTTGTGAGCTGAAGCTCACTTCATCTAATTGGATTAGTCTGTAAGGTGTATATCTACCCTGTCTTCTGCTCAACTTCAAACTAACTGGGCTAACTGTCTCTACCTGATCTATCTATCTGAGCTGACAAATGTTGTCATCTCAGTCTTAACAGGTAGAATTTGCCCAAATTAACATCCGATGGTAGGGACTGTGTTAGCGTTTGAAAATCATAAACCAAAATCATTTATCAGAAAGGATATGGGCGAAGAAGGTTAGTCCTGTAATTGTCTATGCAAGGCTTGTTTCCCTTCCTCCGATATGTTTCTTTTTTTCTACCAGATGCAAGATGTAAACTAGTTGGACCACTGCTGTGATTTTAATACAGCATTTTTTGTCAGTTGACATTTTTTAAGCCCTGGATCTTTGTTTTGCTTGGAATCAACCTTTTCTCTCTCTGACATTTCTAATTCCAAGCACTTATAGCCCTGGAGAATAGTCTTTTGTTTTGTTTTTTGGCAGACAAAAATATGAAACTGTTTCATCATCAGGGCAAAGAACAGACGTTTAGAGCTTAGTTTCTGATAAATTTCCACAATGTATTTTGGTGGTCTGGGTTAGATATAGGACAGAGATACAAGGCATAAATGCTGTGTCTTGACTATATGGTCCATTATAGGTTATGGTGATGTACTTGCACATAAGATACTGTAAGATGCTTGAGGCATGAACCATCTTTTATTTATGAAGTATGTAATGTAAGATACTTGCTGCAATTTGGTAGAGCTACCAGTCTGTCATCTTGGGGAATCATTTAACTTTAGTCTTCATAAACTATGACCGTTTGCAATCTTGAGGTTACAGTAATAATTTGAATTGAATCTTTGAACTGAATCAAGTATGCTTTAGGCACAATATCACTATAGGGTACCTGATCAGTCCTTTAAAAGGAACTTCAAGGCTGGTGTTGAGAGAGAAATCATTATCTGCTTCTTGAAAGATTAACTATCTAGGTGGATGAGATTCTACTGTTTAACTTCTAAAAATCCTTGAAATGAGCTTTTTATCACTTTCTCTTAATTCTGTTTCAAATTGAGACTAACACTTTTTTTTTTTTCTACAGATTAACACTAAAGCCCCACGATGTCCCTGAAACCACGAGTAGTGGACTTTGATGAAACATGGAATAAACTTTTAACAACAATTAAAGCTGTTGTTATGTTGGATTACGTTGAAAGAGCAACGTGGAATGACCGTTTTTCGTATCCTTTAAAAAGCTGACTTGATGGTTTCACATGTGAATGTAATTAGTACAAGATGGACCTGGCATTATCCAACAGTTTTGTAGGCCTGATCTAAAGTTCACTGAAACTAACAGTAGACTCCATGGGCTTGGAGTGAAAGAAGCTTTGTTTTGTACAAATTGTGTGTTTTTTGCCCATGTTTGTTTCATACAAGTGGAAATAAATCCTGGCTTTTTCACCTTTGTTTCAGCAAGAGAAATCGTAGTACATCTGACTCTTTCCCCTTCATACAGGCATCTGTTCTGTTCATAAGTTCACTTTTAACAAATTTCGACTACACTTGTGGTTAAACTATTCTACATCCAACCTGTTCATAAACAACTAAATGTCCTGATGGAAATAAGAACTGACTATTGTACACTGAAGTAGATGAGTGGCTCTTCTTTGCTCCAAGTATCTTTGGTAGCACTTAAATACAATCCTTAATACTTAAATCGCTGTCTTGACTACTGATCTTCACTTTAGGGTGAGGGAAGTCACTTTATTGAAAAGCTACCTCCACTTTTCTGCCATTGCATTCTTATTCTTTTACAACAGCCAAGGAAAAATCTTTTTTTTTCCCTAAATGTAGCTTCTGATGTATTTGTTTTTGTTTCTTTAGTTCCCCTTTTACAACATAAAGCTGGTACTTTTTGAGAAACTTGTGGAAATAATGCTTAAAGTAAGCTTTTTTCATTATGCTTTAAGTCCAACCTGCTTTAATATTTTGTCTTCTGAAGGGTTCACCTCTGCCTGTTAACGCACTTCTTAAAGAGTCCATGCATTAAAATATAGCTGCGTGATGGTGGAAGAAATGGGTGAATTTTTACTGTTGCCTTAGGTATTTGCAAGCAATCTGAGTTTTTCTGACAAGTGGTGGTTTTATTTATTTATTATATTTTACTTTATCAGCCTATCCCATCAACTGTGTGGACAGGATAAAGTTAGACAAGCTTTGAAATGCAAGACATTCTTCCTCGGGTCCAGAGAACCAAGCACAGCAGTTAAAAACAGTGACAATTCACTGTGCTTGCTACCCTTCTCAGCCCTGAGGAAGAATGTCTTGCATTTGGAAACTTGTCTAACTGTCCTAGCCACAAAGCTGGTATCTGTTACTGGACCATGTTAATCCTTGTATCTCACAATCTCTGGACCACCATGGCTACAACATTACTTTAACACAGTGGTTTTCAAACGTTTGAGCTAAGCCCCACTTTGAATTTTGTTTGTGTATCATGTCGTCCGTCCGTGTCTGTTCCCCCTCCT